CCGTAAAACGTTTGTCTGCCGTAACTTTCACTTCACACATTTTGCAAAATAAAATTTCTCCGTCAGTACTAAAATATTTGTCACCAAACTCTTTAATAAAACCACGCAACTTCACGCTATTAGAGCACTTGACTTTAGGCATCTTGAAACTATACTGAACAACTGAAGTTATGAATACAGTACTGTATTGGACGGGTTTCGGAGAGAGGGTAGAAATTTACCGCTTTGTGGATGGAAAAATTTTTCACCAATATGCAAGAAACAAACTGGACTTCAGGTATCACTGCAGTGGAGGAGAAAAAGAGACATAGACAGACAGACAGACAGACAGACAGAGGTGGCAATTTCTCTTTTCAAAGTGGTTGATTCTATGCCAGGTCAAGGACCGTTACCCTTCACACTGTACAGTATTCCTTCAAATCCCATTACACAAGGCCAAATATTTCTAAGAAATGAAGTTCCGAATAACATCGTTGCTAATACTTGCAAATATATTTCTGAGCAATAAGTGAAACTCCTCTAAAATATGACCAAAAATATGATTTTATATCACTTCAGGCCCAAATATGACCTAAAGCTAAAATATGGTTCAAATATGCATTTATATGACCAATAAAAACCGTATTTTCATGTTCACAAGAGTCAGAAATGCGTTTATATTTAATTATACATGTAAAAAGATGCCAGGATAAAAATATGACATGTCATAGAAATCCGAGCCCTATTCATCATTAACCCTTAGGAGACGAAGTACTCCGTATGGGACATTTAAAATGTAGTCGTTGTGGCTGGAGTGCACCATATGGGATGTGTAGTCCACACGTGTGCACAGTGTTTTGAAAAACTAATTTTAAGATAGAAATCTTTGTTTTACTTATATTCTTTTTTGGCACAGCTTGATAAGTAAACAGGCTTCACTCTTGCATCATCTAACTGAATCTAGCCTTTGTGTGGTACTCCTGGAAACACCCGAAAATGCAGAGTCCAACATCGCATTTTATGCACTTTGTTCGGATATTTCTCCTCTTTCCACGTGAGGAGCACACATGACAGTTCAGTCTCGTGCTTGAGGAAGTTGGCCAGTGATGTCGATTGACTTCCTCTAATTGATATATTGTAGATTACAGAGCAAGAGGTCGACCTATGGGTTGTTGTGGGCGAGGTGGACCCCTTGCAAGATGTTCCAGCACAAGGGCGAGACGAAAGTCTCGATGTGACAATTTCACACCACAGCATGACAACATGATGAAACTGTTCAGAATCATCAGATCCAAGAGATGGAAGAACAATTTGTTTGTCCATTTCCAGGTCCGACGACTGATGGAATAGCTGTTTGTCATTTTGTCTGCCTTGTCGACATATCCCATGTGCTTGTTGTAATCCGCAACAGTTGCTGGTTTTATGGCATTTCCATGCTCATCACAGAAATTGTCTTCTGCTGAAGGAGAGTGCATGTTTGTCAGCATATGAACGTCACGTTTATCCTTCCAAACTAGTGCTGTCATGTCCCCTCTCATCCTAACCTGAATGTCACCTTTCTTCAATCGAAGTTGTCTCTTGCGAAAGTCTTGAGGCAAGCCCTTCCGATTCAGTCTGAATGTCCCACAGCAACTTATTTTCTTCGTCATTAGTTCGTTAAACAAGTCTGATGATGAAAAGAAATTGTCCATGTACAGTTTGTGGCCTACTCCCTCAACCCTTCTGCAGAGTTCCCTAACCGTAGCATGTGTCGCTGTCACATCTTGGTCGGCACGTGTCCTGTCTTTCCCTTAGTAAACCTTCATGTCATAAGTATACCCAGCAGCGTCACAGAGTTTGTAGATTTTGATTCTGAAACATTGGTGTTTCTTAGGAATGTACTGTCTGAAAACCACCCTCCCTTTGAATTTGACAATTATTTCGTCAACAGACAAATGTTCAGAAGGATTATAGTATTTTTGATATGTGTCATTTAGAGTATCGAAGATGGTCCGAATTTTCCATAGTCATTCATAACTGTCGGCATTCTTGTCAATTTCTGTATTGTTGTCCATGATTTATTCCAGCCGAAAAGTAGGAAAAGTGCTCCGATAGAAGAGGACAGGTGTGACTCGCGTCTTGAGAGGCGACATAGGGATAAAAAATCCTGAACAGTTTTAATATTTTAAATATTTAATATTTATCAATATATAAGATGAACATATATTTTAGTTATTTTAGTATGAAGACGGCAAGGCATGCAGTGAAATAGTTTAACATAAATCAAAAAGCAGCTGAAGATGGCACCTTTGTGCCGAAACATGTAGTGCGGGAGTGAAGAGTGAAGTAGATGAGTGTATGCATTGTAAGACGGCTGGAATAAATCATGGACATAAATCAGTGCAATAGGACGCTAAAATATAACATTCTGTATTGTTATCTGCAAAATGAATGAAACGAAGAATGTGAAGGGAACAGTCACGTTTCATTGTGTTGCTGTAGAAAGGCGTTCAAAATTGCTCAGCAGTTTACCAGTAGTCCTTTAGTCTGTCTCTTATATTATGTCCCATTTGAGTGATGATTCCTAGAAACAGAAACATCTCAAGAGTCGTTTACATCAGGGCATGGAGAAGGTCTGTCTTCAAGTCTGGCTAGGTCCTGATGATAATATCTGTTAGTCTCTTCCACCAGCAGCTGGATAATTCCTGCGAAGTAAAGCATGAAAACGCAGAGTGGGGCAGAATCCTTATTTACGTGTGGAGCTTCATTGAGATTTATCTCCACTGCTCCACCGGAAATATTATTCACACCCTTCCTCTCATGCTGGTGTGGTGGTCCCCAGGTTGTTGACGAAGATAATGGTTCTTCGTCAACTTCACTTTCGGAGCTTCCATCTTGACCACCGTCAAAATCATCTGTGCTGCAGTCTGAATCTGTATCACAAAACTGCCTTTCAATTTCATCTTCTTCCAACCGAATTGAGGCCATTGAAAGTACATAGGGACAACTCAGGTCAGAGTATGGAAACACTGGAAGACTGTCATATGAACTACAGAAGCCTCTGATCTATCGTCGCAAGAATTTACTACGTATGCTACAAGGAACCGACAACGTCTGTAATCTGAGAATATGATTCAGCAGAAACAAATATGAACTTCTGCTCCCTCTGTCTGATATGCCAGGAGCCAACATTATATTGCTGAAACGTATTGTGCAGGAGGTTTAAGCAGAATTGTGGGCAAACGCTCAAAATTGGAAAAAAAAGTAAATAAATAAATAAACTGTGTAAGAATTTTTACAGATTTTAAAATCTGTCAATTACAGTATCTGATTCTATATTCTTTCTAGATAAAAGCAACGTTAATTTCGTTCATTTGCCACAAGATCTGTATAAGTTACAGCATTTTTAGTAACATGATCACAAATTTAATCCTCTAGAGCGGCAGGCGTTTAAATAAACTCTGGCCTGCTTCAACTACCACCATTTAAATAGCCTGTCTCTTAAAGGTTAAGCATGTCCTCCAAATGACCGACGTTCTTGTTACTATTTAGCTTGAAAAACAGAAGTTACAGAGCAGCAAGAAGCAGCGTCTTGAAGGCCCAAGCATTGTGTTTGAGTCACGGATAAGTGAGCTTGAAGCACAGCTAACTCAGACTAAAATGGACCTGAGGAAGGCCTTAGAAGAAGCTGACCTTTGCAAGAAGAAGCTAGCTGACCAACCACTCAGCTTTGAAATGCACAGCCCATCTAGTGCTGCAGGCTGTGACAGTCACCGGCAACAGATTGAAAATTTACAGAGGTTAGTTGAAGGGACAGTAATCCCTCTTTGTACACTGCATGTTGTGCATATATTTCCCTTCACTAACCTTTATCATCCAGGTTTACATTTCCCACAACTAAATTTCTAGCAGGTGGATTTATTAAACTCAGCAGTCATGGGATTTATGTTGTAGACAGTGCTACCCTGAAGATGCTGCAGCCTGCTGAACCAGCGCATACAGTTATGCAATCCAGAGATAAAAACTATTCACTCTTATGATCTTAAATGTGGAGTACAAATTGTGAAGTTCCTTGTAATGTAATTTTTCCATTATTTTGTAATTTTATCTGTGTGTACCTGTATAGTGTATGCGTAGAGGTAAAATATTTAAGAGTTCAGTGTAGATTTGCACGCCTATTGATTATTAATTTTCTTAGGCAGAAAGAAAATGGCATTCTGGTTGAGTTTAAAACTGTCAAGCACACCATTCGTGGTACTTATCAATTTTTGCAGGGAGAAGAATGAGCTGAATGAGAGCCTGATGAAGCTGCAGGGTGCTGTCACACAGTTCCGTGAAAAGGAAGCAGAAGCATCACTCAAAGTGAAGCGCAGCCTGGACATTGTGGACCAGGCCCAGTTCGAGAAAGCACAGGTATATTCCATATTAGCTGACAGTTATGGCATTGGAGGAGAGTTATAACTTCCACATTCATAGGAAGTTTGACAGTATTAAGTTTGGAGTCTACTTTAACCCCTTGAGACTGAATTAAATGACAGTGCATGATTGTGAAGCTGCATGACTCTTTTCATCCCTTAAATTTCTCATTTGCATGAATGATGGGGAAAAATCCTGTATCTTTCTAAATATTTGGTGTAGAAGTATGGACTAAACACTACATCAGAGGTCATATGTCCAGCAACCTATGTATCGTAACGTTTTCCACATTCATAGGAAGTTTGACAGTGTTAAGTTTGGAGTCTACTTTAACCCCTTGAGACTGAATTAAATGACAGTGCATGATTGTGAAGCTGCATGACTCTTTTCATCCCTTAAATTTCTCATTTGCATGAATGATGGGGAAAAATCCTGTATCTTTCTAAATATTTGGTGTAGAAGTATGGACTAAACACTACATCAGAGGTCATATGTCAAGCAACCTATGTATATTATTTGTGTATAGGGTGTATATAATAAAATAAGTGCTCAGTTCAGAATATTGTAAAAGCTTTCACATCAGTTTGGTGAGTACAAGGTGTTCTGCAATCGATTAACTGGGAAGAAAAGTGTAAATATGTAAGTGCGATTTGCAGTACATTTTAGTTCCTTTTTCATATCTAGGTTAATGTACGTGGTTCAATCCAAAAGTTCCTGAAATATATTAATAAAAACTATTACATCTTACCTAGATCTTATTCTGCACTATCACCTTCAAAGTAGTCCCCTTGGGAGCGCATGCACCGATCGCAGCGTTTCTACCACTTTTCAAATGCATCCTGGAAGTCTTTCTTTGTTAGGGTGTTTAGTGCCGTCTGCGGTTCCTCTTGAATTTCCTCAACTGTATCAAATCTTCGCCCCTTCAACTTGATTTTCATCTTGGGGAAGAGAAAGAAGTCGCATAGAGCTAAGTCTGGCAAGTATGGTGGGTGGGGAACAACTGCCACTTGTTTTTAGCCAAAAATTCCTGCACAATGTAAGCCGTATGCGGTCGTGCGTTGTCATGGTGGAGTACCCAGTCATTCATGCGCCACTTCTCAGGACGTGTTCTCCTCATGTTCTCCCCCAAACGCCTTAGAACATCGCAATAGAACTCTTTATTGACTGTCTGACCAGGAGGGACGAACTCCTTATGAACAATCCAGTCAATATAAAAAAGCAGATCGACATAGACTTAATGTCGCTCTTGACTTGTCAAGCTTTTTTTTGGCCGAGGTGAAGAAGGGCTCTTCCATTGCAACGATTGCTGCTTGCTTTCAGGGTCGTAGCCATAAACCCAACTTTTGTCACCAGTGACAACCTTCGAAAGAAAGTTTGGATCCTCTTGAAGCTGTTGCTGAAGTTCCCTGCAGACTTCCAAGCGATGCTGCTTCTGTTCATTTTGCAGCAGT